TGCCTCCTGCTGTGTTGTCACATCACTCTTTACTCACGGTGTTTCACATAATGCTGGTATCCTATAAACGGCACCAGAAATGCCAGCTGCTCACTGACCTCAACATAAAGAAGGAAGACACAACACACAGGCATGTATCCTTCAGAGTCCAGGTAATTGAAGTAGAATCAGTATGGGACTTCAAAGAGATGTAGCCTGTGTACCGAACATTGCAGGGCTCATATATCAAAGCAACAGCCTTAGCAAGGCACACATACACTTAATAAATATTGGCCACCGTTGTTTGTTACAGGAAAGCAGTCTGAGACCTGGAAAGCAAATAACCTCTGTTCTCAGCCAAGGCTTATATAATGTTTATTTGTGTGTGTGTGTGTGTGTGTGTGTGTGTGTGTGTGTGTGTGTGTGTGTGTGTGTGTGCGTGTGTGCATGCTTATTTCAGTGTTTACATGGATGTTGATAATGGAGTTAATCTGAAATCAATGCAATAATTCTGCGAAGAGGTGAGATCAATATATGATTAGCTAGTTTCACCTGATTCTTGCATTAAGTGTAATGCGGTTTTGAAAGATAACCGTTTCGGTCACATTTCTAACATTAGACATTTCCTTGCCTGTTCATCTTAATGATCAACTTCAGATATCCTGTACCGAAAGAAGCACTGCTCATCCTGCGATGACACAAGTATCATGCAGGTTGCAATTGTGTGTCTTGGAAGTAGGCTTCATCAAGATTTCTTGGAACCTTAATCAAATCAAAGGCTAGCCACTTACGAGAGTGTGTGTATAATAATTTGCTTGACTGGTTGATTAAATATTGTGCCAAATCATGTTTCACTGTTGTACTCATGACAGGTTTTGTTTATAGTGAACAGGAAATGCTAGAGATTAGATTTTGGTGTTGTTTCCCTCTAAAGTGGCATCAGTTTAAAGGAAGCAAAAGATGAACAATGCACAGCTGTATCACACCAATAAGTAAGCGCTGTGTATGCCTCAGCTCATTGCGTCTGTATTTTGGTTAATTCCCTTTTTTGCTGAATTAATTAGCTCAATGATTCCAAAAGGCAAACAGCCAGTCAGGCTCACACACAAACCCGTATATGATCAGTGTATCATCCTATATTCTTTGTGCCAGCATATTAGCTGCTCCATGAGAAACTTGCGCTCATTGCAATATGTTTATCTGATCATAGACACTGGTCCATATGGGCAGCAGTTGTAACTCAAACAGCCTGATTGTTGGACCAGTGAGCTCATTCCTACTTTCAATACTTTTTCTTGCATTAATGCATCAATTAATTGGTTAATTTCAAACTACTTTATGAATATCAATGTTCTACAGAACGGATTTATTCCTACACCGGAGACAAGTATGAGTCAACACTGACGAAAACCATTAATATTTCTCACAAAGCATCTAGAAGCAAATATGTTTTTGGAGTTTTACCTGCTTCAAGGCTTTTGGAGAACTGTCAAACACAAAAACAAATGCTCTAATTAGCCACTGACACACGGTAGTTGGAAAAACTGACACATCCTCCATGTTTTCAGATGAGTCATTAGCCATGCAGGCAATGCCAATGCGAGGGTTGTTCCCATTTATTGCAGCATTTTGCAATTTTTAGTGTTTCAGATTTAAAATAGTTTGTCGAACCTCAGATTCAAGAGGAGCAATGCGGATTCCGTCCCGGCCGTGGAACAGTGGACCAGCTCTTTACCCTCGCAAGACTACTGGAGGGGTTCTGGGAGTTTGCCCAACCAGTCTACATGTGCTTTGTGGACTTGGAGAAGGCTTTCGACCGGGTCCCTCGGGGGTTCTTGTGGAGGGTGCTGCGGGAGTATAGGGTGCCGGACCCATTACAACGGGCGATCCGGTCTCTGTACGACTGCAGTAGGAGCTGTGTCCGCATTCTCGGCAATAAGTCAGACACGTTCCCGGTGGGTGTCGGCCTCCGCCAGGGCTGCCCTTTGTCTCCGGTCCTGTTCGTGACTTTCATGGACAGGATATCTAGGCGCAGCCGGGGGGTGGAGAACGTCAGGTTCGGGGGTCTCGGGATCGCCTCTCTGCTGTTTGCAGATGATGTGGTCCTGTTAGCCTCCTCGGATCGTGACCTCCAGCATTCACTGGGGCGGTTTGCAGCCGAGTGTGAAGCGGCGGGGATGAGAGTTAGCACCTCCAAATCTGAGGCCATGGTGCTCTGCCGGAAACCGGTGGATTGCTCCCTCCAGGTGGGGACGGAGTGCCTACCTCAAGCGAAGGAGTTCAAGTATCTCGGGGTCTTGTTCACGAGTGAGGGTAAGATGGAGCGGGAGATCGACAGACGGATCGGTGCGGCTGCAGCAGTAAAGCAGGCGCTGCACCGGACCGTCTTGGTGAAGAGCGAGCTGAGCCGGAAGGCAAAGCTCTCAATTTACCACTCGGTCTACGTTCCTAACCTCACCTATGGTCACGAACTCTGGGTCGTGACCGAAAGGACAAGGTCGCGGTTACAAGCGGCCGAAATGAGCTTCCTCCGTAGGGTGGCCGGGCTCAGCCTTCGAGATAGGGTAAGGAGCTCGGTCATCAGGAGGGAGCTTGGAGTCGAGCCGCTACTCCTTCGCGTCGAAAGGAGTCAGCTGAGGTGGTTCGGGCATCTAATTAGGATGCCTCCTGGACGCCTCCCACTGGAGGTTTTCCAGGCACGTCCAACTGGGAAGAGACCCCTGGGAAGACCCAGAACACGCTGGAGAGATTACATCTCCCAGCTGGCCTGGGAACGCCTCGGGATCCCCCAGAATGAGCTGGAACATGTTGCCAGTGAGAGGGAGGTCTGGGTCAGCCTGCTTGGCCTGTTGCCACCGCGACCCGACCCCGGATAAGCGGAGGAAAATGGATGGATGGATTTAAAATAGTTAGAAATAAAGGCGGCATTGAAAGTTACTCAGTTGACATATATTTGTCGTGTGCTGTGTTTGATTATGTGGGAATACGTGAGGAGTACTCACACTGTTCAAGACTGACCAATCGGCTTCTTGTCATCTTTGAATTCAAAACACTTCACAATGACTCATACAGCCTTCAAGTGTTTGTTTTTTGATTGACCCAATAATAAATGATGCACCATTCAATTTGAAATATGTTCAACTTCCACACATATTTCCATGATGAACAACAAATATTATAAGTCTGGAGAAGTGGGTGTAAACAACGGCTTGGGTGACAAAACAGGCCACATTTTCCGCGTAAAGAAAATGCAGCAACTTCTCTCCTTCAGATGAAGCATTTGTTTGAAACAGGCATGCGTCTCTAAACATGAGGGGGTTGGCAATCTCAAATGTTCTGGTAGGTATATTTTATAAGCGTGGTTTATAATATCTGTAATACAGAATAGAAACAATTACTTCACAGTGGCATCAAATTAAAGGTAACAGGTTGTCGCATATACACTTGGTTCTCATTGACTAAATTGAGCACATTGTGAGTCAAGCTAAGAGCCTGCTAATTATCATAGCTTCCAAACACTACATTAAATAAGTATCAATTAGAAAAGGCCCATTACAACATAATGTCAGGTATTATTTATGCTAACTTACATTGTCACAGATGCACACTGTTGTAACAAAGACTCGGTCCAGCCGAGGGAGGAGAATTCACGATGAAGTCTGTAACTGAACGTGCGCACAGAGCATCTGAGGCGCAATAGGAGTGGCCTGCTGTGACGCTTGTTATCCTCCAGCAGGGGACTTTGTATAGTGGAACTGGTGCTTTATGTGTTGATGTTTTCACACACTGTAATGCCATGGGGCCACCCAGTACCACCCAAACTCATCCTCTTTCTTTCCGTCTAGTTTTTTTTATCATAATTCCTGTAATGTCACATTTAGCATGCACACAGATAAAAGTGCTGGTAGCAAGTTAGCCTGCTGCTAGCTGTGCCATAGTTGTGTAGAGAGCATTACAAACTAACATGTTCTCATGACATGGAAGGTTGACGGTATTACAAACAATACTTTTACACCTCCTTTGCTTTGTGACGCTGTGAAGTGTCATGAGTCATATAATATAAATGCTTTTTCCCAATCTGTCGATGTAAACCTCATCTAGCATCAAAGCAAAACAGCACAAATTGCTGTAACATCTAGTATTGCAGTAGCTGATGTAAATGCAGAAGGATGCTGGGTATTTACTGTAAATCTGGTGAAAATTCACACATGTTTCTGTTAAATGTCAAACTAAAAAGTAGCACAAGGCTGCAGTCCTCATTCATCAAAATGCGTGCAACCAAAACCGCTTCTCATGTGAACTGTCTAATGTTGCACTCCTACGACATTATCTTTATCTGGATTAGTCAGGGAAAGATATCAAATTAAAAATGTTATTCGAACACTTGGAGCATTACTAAAAGGTTATTGACATCATGACGTTTTGTTCCACCGCATTCTTTCATAAAATAATTGCTCAACTGAGATTCAAGCTTTTTGGTTTTGCTTTTTTAAATCAGCAGCTAATCTTTGACAGGCATACATATGCATATACAAATCTATATTCACACGGATGGAAATGAGTAGACAAGTCTATCCGCTATTTGACGACCACAAATCAGAATTCCACAGTCGATTCCTTGTCCAAACTACATTTGCATGAAATAAAATGGCTGTCAACATCAACACAAAGCGAAACAAAAAGGGACGAGGAAATAAATTAAATGTTGCCCATCATCAGCACACTGCGTGATGTAGGTCAACTCAGAGGGCACGCAAGCCATGCATGAAAACCTAGCGAGCATTAAAGAGAGAGACTGAGTCTTTGTGCCAACTCTTTGATGCTGTGTGTTTACATGAATGAATTTCCTGTGCCTCACTGGCCCCAATTTATTGTAGAGGTCAACAAAAAAAAAATAGAGACAGGGCTGCGTGAGAGCCTTATGCAATTTGAATTTGAAGCTGCTGCATCTGCTGGGCTTCGTTACTCCCAGCCACAAAAGTTAAACTCAAAGACAACAACAAGTAGTGTTATCATCCTACCTTCTTGCACAGCCTGGAAGGGGTTGTTCCCGTCAACGAACTCCACTGAGAAGGTGATCTTCTCGGTCTCTAAGATCTCGTTGTTCAAATTGAGATCTGCCACGGCGAGACGAAACGCCTCGTCATCTTTCCGTGCTGACTCGTCAAAGATGGCGCCTATTCGGGAAGGAAAGAAGCAGAAAGGAAAAGAGGAAGTTATTACTCTGTGTTTACAGGACTTCTGGAATGGACAAAAAGGGAAAGTGACATACATATGGTGATAAAGAGGGTAGAGCCATAAGAATACAGCCCACAGAAGGGAAGTTCTTCAGAAAACCAACTTTCCAACTCCGTCCCGCGTGGTTTAGCTTCACTAATTTTATCACCAAGACATTGCTAAACAGCCAACAAAGTGTGAAGAACTGGGGTCAGTGCCATGACACCAAAGTTTACAATATGAACATTGACTGAACATTAAATATTGATCTAATTACAACATATTCCAGCTGATAACGAGATCATAAATAAGTGACTTATGACCACCTGAACACAAACACCTAGTAACAGGAGATGGTCACATTCTGGACGTAAGAACAACTGTCAAAAACCTCCTTTTAAAAACTGACCTACTTTCAATAGGCTGTGCGATTCTGGGGGCTTCAGAGGCTAAGTTGTGTTCCAGTTGTGTTCTCCAAATTTCGCATTTTCTGCCACATTTGGAGGAACTCCTGTTACGTTGTGCTCAGTCTCGTACTAGTAGGAGCTACTGTGTGTAGTTGAGACCCAGCTTCAGAAAGACGGGGCGTGAGGAAGAAATGTGTCGACACCACGGTTCATGCTGGGGTCAAATGCTGCCAGAGGGAGAACTGACTCAGCCAAAATGGTTGGTGCACAAAAGGGACAAAGAAAGACTGGAGAGTCCCAGTATCTGCAGAAGCGGATTAAGTTCCCACTAGTCAATACTAAATTAGTCATCAAAATAAATGTCAACCTGCAGTGTTGCTCAGAGTAAAGAATGAAGCAACATGGGGCGATGGCTGGCTGGGAGCGAATTTGGTTATTGCTTTGGTCTGTTCCACACAATTAACCATGTCATATCTATTTCTCTTTTTCGTCTCTTTTAGCCTCTCATTTCAACCCTGTGTATCCCATGAACCCATTGGGCCACTACTTGCCGGTGCTAGTGCAGTGAAGCTCTGCTAAACTGTTTTCCGCTTACTAGAAAATAAGCCTCATACTGTATAGTGTGTATGTGTGTGTGTGTGTGTGTGTGTGTGTGCGTGTGAGACAGAGAGCGAGAGAGAGAGAGACACACACAGGTTGCAAATTCCATTAACAAAGAGGCAGGCTACATTGGCTTGAGGGCTGTTTTGTACCACTTTTAGGAGACTGTTGCTGTTATTTTGGTCTTGTACAGTTCAATGAGTAAAGTACGATGCCAAACAGCAAAGGCTGTGGTCTGAATCCTCACTGAAGAAAATATGCTGCCTCTGTGAAGATTTGTCTTCTCATTCCAGGGATGTGTCGGAGAAACCCAATTGTATGCTTAATTAGCTTAAAAAAATGGTGTAGTGTATGACCTTTTGTAGGTGACTATAATGTAATTAAAAAGACTAAAGCAATAACGTGAGGGGAGCATTGATCTTAAAAACCTGAATCTTACTTCCTCGCCCCCTATTTCAAATAACCTGTGGGTCATATTTAGCTTCCGAAGGACATTTCGTTTCACTTCACACATTCATCACATGCAAAAGCAACTGCTGTTTGAAGGCCGCTACCTGCCTCTTAATCGAAAGGCCTCATTAAGTATGTATCCTGCAATAATTTCATCCATCAGCATTTAACAACTGAAAATACCCTCCCACTGATTGAGGCTCGCCTGCTTCAATAAGCATGCAGTATAGATGAGGTGAGACAAACAGGCCTGGACAAAGAGATAAAGATTGAAACAAAGATTCATTCATTATTCCATTAGAGATGAATTATGAACGGGGTTCCAATCAGCTTGAAGATGGCACTGCTGGGGAAGGATTTTTTACACATTTCAAAGTAGCTCTATTGCGTATACGTCTAGAGGACAAATGCATTGAGAGAGGACAGGACAGTCCATATGGCATCACACTAAGGCTCCAGGGGAGAAGTGAGACAAAAGGGGGACGTTACGTGTACTTATTGTGCATGAACACTTGAGATCAGTGTATTTTGCACTTCACAGTATCCACAGGATGACATTCAAATTTGAAAAAAAAAAAGAAAACAAGAGTTGCAGAGAAAAAAACACACTTTAATGGCTGCCTTAATCTGGGCCTCCACAATGGAGTTGCCATAGTAACCTCGCCCATGCTTCCAGACATAAGTTAAAAGCTGCCCTGTGCTGTACACCACTCTCTTTGTAAATGCGTTTTCCTTTTCTCTCTTCCTCTTTGAAATATCCCACCAGCAATGTGTTGCTCAGGTCCAGTGGCACAACAGTCACAACAGGATATCAAACCGGGCCGTGGTTCATCAGCGACCTGCGCTCTCTGCCACTCTTTAATCCAGGCACAGAGACAAGTTGATGATGAAACGGATTCAAATGCGTCATTAAATGTGTTTCGCTTTCAAAGTGTCAATTAGACAGGAATCGAAACAACTTTCTTTTTTTTTATAAAGTTAGGTAAGCACTGCTTAAGTCAAGCCTGATGTTGCCTTACACATAAAAGAATGATCCTAGTCCCTGCAACACAGTGAGCCT